GTCTAGACAAGTCTTTCTCAACCAGGGTGCCATGGCACCCTCGGGTGCCTTCTGCTTGCTTTCCTCAGGGGTTCCTCAAAATTTTCACACAGTGCCATGTCTTTCCATGGTGCAGACAGAATTCTGATGTGAAGGAGAGCGATGAAGGGGACTGATGTGAAAAAAGGGGTCTCTGATGTGAAGGGGGGACTCCTAGTGGGTGAGGGGGGACTCTAATGTAAAAGGAAGGGGCTCTGATGTTTAGGGGGCACCTAGTGGGAGACAGGGGGCTTTGATGAGATAGAAAGGGGGCTCCTAATATGAAGGGGGACTCTGATGTGAAAGGGAGACTTTGATGTGAAGGGGAGCATCTGATTTGAAAGGGGACTGTGTTTTTGTGTAAGGTTCACCCTTTAGAATCCATACCAGACCCCTATCTTGTATAAGAGTCTGCTGTGAATTTTGGAGGTGCTACAAGTTTCTTTTTATATTTTTACATTTGTATAAATAGAATGAATTTATGATTATATTCTTGTCCTCACTTGTCTGATCTGAATATATTGGTAACTTCCAGGACCTGCGGCCAGAGCCTTAACATCCTTGGTTGTTAGAGGATCTTATATATCCCTCTTAAGGTGCCCATACACTGCTCGATTCTCGTACGAGAATCGGGCGAAATCCCGCGATCGTACGAGAATCGAGCAGTGTGAACTAAGACGTGCGACCGTTTCTACTGTACGGTCGCACGTCTTTTGTCGAGCCAACATGTTCGAAAACCCGCCGAGAATCGTACGATTCTCGGCGGGTTTCTAGCCTGCTCGCCCGATAGCTGCGGAACGGGCCGGTGTGCGCACGCGCACACTGCCCGTTCTGCATTGCGGTCATCGGAAGCCCGCCCCTCAGCGGGGCGGGCTTTCGATGATCGCAAGTACGATCTGCCCGTCCAAGGTGGGCAGATCGTACAAGCTTTCAATAAGCGTACGACCATCGCAAGACAAAAGTCTTGCGATGGTCGTAAGGTGTATGGGCACCTTTAAGCTGGGCACACACCTTACAACCATCGCAAGACAAAAGTTTGTAAGGTAATTAAAAAAACGTACGATCTGCCTATCTTGGACAGGCAGATCGTACTTGCGATGATCGCAAGCCCACCCCGCTGAGGGGCGGGTTTCCGATGACTGTAATGCTAAGCGGACAGTGTGCGCTTGCGCACACCGGCCCGTGCGGCTTTTATCTTGCGAACATGCCACACACCCGCCGACAATCGTACGATCACGGGATTTCCCACGATTATCGCAAGGTGTGTGGGCACCTTTAGGCTGGGTTCACACCTGGGTGTACGGAATATGCACATTTGTCGTGCGTTTCATGTCGCGCATTTTTATCGCAGTTTGCGGTAAAAGAAACGCACTTTTTACGAGGGCTATCCGGCTGTATCCTAATGGATACGCGTGGAAAATACTCCCCAAAGAATCTCCTGTACTTCTTTGGGCGTAGGGCGTTTTGCAGCGCGCTCCTACGCGCTGAAATACACCCAGGTGGGAGCCATGCCCATAGCCAATTATTGTTTTTCACATGTTGAGTGTTTTACAGCGCGTAGAAACGCGCTGTAAAATGCCCAGGTGTGAACCAGGCCTTAGGGAGTGATTCCTTGTAGTTCGCAATCAAGGCACTGGCTATTGGGATCTGGATATTACCTGGGGTTAGATCTGCAGATTAGAGTATTGGGGACATGAAAGGAAAATGTATCTGATGCACCCCACTCCATTGATTCCTGGATCATGGATTTCTGTTAAGCTGTTTTGAAAGATTTGATGGTTTTGAATTTTTACATACTATAAACAGCACAGTCATTTGTCCCTAGTTATACCAGCTTGAAATCCAATATTTGTCATTGTTGCCATGCCTCTATTCCCACTCCCCCAAATAGGTTTGTTAAATGAACAGTGACTGTATGTAATCTGCATATTATAATTATTGGCAAAGTCAAAACAGCACCAAGGGTGAAAGAGCGAAATATATTTCGACAGTTCACTAACGAGTCACCTGGAGAGAACACAGCCACTGCTATTCTCAGCTCAACCATGGTAAGTAAACCATTTTAGATATATTTTCATAGGAAACCATATGCAGTGAATAATAATTTTGTCCTGTTAATTCAAATATTTATTGAATATATTTCGCACTATTTGTTTAAAAATTCAGAATGAAAGTTAAGTTCTTTTTTTGCACTTTATTATATATGAAAATGTCTCATGGATTTAAGTGCATTAGCTAATTTAAATAATGTTTCTCTGTGCCATTTGTAGTATGGATTCATTAATACTTGTTTAAAATCGCTAGTATTGGAAACATTTGGGGATGAAATCTGGCAAAAATTAAAGTAAGTAGAAACACTAAAGGCACATATTCGTTTGACATTTTAACCGGTGGGCAGTTTTGTTATATTCTCTTTCTTTTAGATATATTTTCTTAATTTGTCATTTGTTATCGGCATCACATTGTTGCAGATAATAATTAAAAACAGTGAAAATAATACTAGTGTATAAGGTACAACATTGCTTTAAATTGCCAATACTTTACAAAAACATTTTTAAGTGTTTAAAAAAAATAACTGAAATAAGTAAATACTAAGTTTTAATTTTAAATATAAAATATTGTATGCTATGTCAGAATGCACTACAATTTTCTACATATTTATTTTAAACTGTTTTTTTTTTTCTGTAGAATACGATTGTCAAGTGCATACATAAAGTGTTTCTTTCTCTATGAAAATGGTCCTTCCATTCAATGATGCTTCATTATTTCCTGAAGTATTTATTTTCTTAATTTAATAGGCATACATATTTTAAAGGACTCAAACTATGTTTAAATAGAAATTGAAATGATTTAGAGTATACAAATGTCCAAACGTATTAGGCATGCATGTAATTCCCTTAATTTTTTTTGACCAGGAATATAGGAAATTTTGCATATATTGCATTCTGTATTTGATCAGACCAGTGAATAATTAAAGTGTATGCATAGCCATTTTTTCTAGATAAAGTAGTGAAGGATTAAAACTCCTGTCAGTTTATTTTTTGCTGTGTGCATCGTGTTGAGGTGCTTTCCCTTCACTTCCTGTTTTAGAGATGCAAAAGGTGAGAGAAAATATGAAGTGAGATAAATTCCCTTTTTATACAGTTCTCACTAGATTCGCGGGTCCACATTGTAAGGTATATCCTCTATTCTTGTCCACATGACAACTCAAAATTTAGCATTTTCTCTTACTTTAAGTCCGGGTGACAGTAGTCACCAGCACAAATAAAGAAGGTGGATTTTCCTGGGGGGCGGGGGGTATTACATGTATTCTTTCTGAAATGTTGCACAAATGCACTTATAATATGCATCTCCCTGATGAAGGCACTTTGGTGCTGACTCATGTTGGGGTGGTATTAGGGAGCACTGATTATTTTTATCTGAGGACTGGTGGAACTTAATGAAAACAGAAAGTGTACATATTAAATGGACAGAGAACCAGATAGCTGAATAGGAAATAGATGACATCTGGATAAGTAATAAACTTAAATGAACATAGGATCATTGAGAGCCACAACTCCTCAGTAAGACATACTGGTGATAAACATAGAAATGTGGGAGGATATAATTGAATGATGTTTAAATCTCTAGTTCTAAAACATAGTTTAAATAGAACCTTTAGTTGTAAGCCATTACAGGGTGAGATGCGTGGACGGATGAGCGCATCATCTGTGAAAAGTATTATTATTAATCACCATTGGCCTCATTGGTGAATCCATCTGTTGTTATCTTGCTGAGTTGGGGGTGCTGACAGAGTCTTCAAAATCCAACACTTCCATGTGTGTTGGATGCCTGCAGGGCCGGATTTACTCCCCCTGCCGCCCCAAGGCCAGGTTCCACAATACGCCCCAGCCGCCAACCCCCCTTACTGCCTTTCCCACAAGGCCTCGGTGGCCTTGTGGGTAATCCGGGCCTGGATGCCTGTGTCTCCCTACTAAGTAAAGAGCTATATTTAAAGTAGCACGACATCATGGAAGAATGAGACGATATTAAATAAGAGTCACCATCTCAGCAGCAAAGTGTCCCTCGAAATAATTTAGAATCAGATATGGAGTCATGAGTCTCTTTGATTACTGTAGTTCGGAAGAATGATAGTGCTTGATTGATTACAGCAACATACTAGTAGTTTCTCTGAGCAATGTGACAGATATGTAAGTGAGGCTGGGTGATCCCATGATTACCTATAATGTCTGTTTTGGCTATCTCAACTACACCCATCCTTTGCAGCTACTTACTAGAGTGTCCTGCAGAGTATACTACTATACAAGGCATTTAAAACAGAGCAAGCAGCGTTTTATAATTGCATGTACTTTTAAGAAAAATTAGAAAAAGAATGTTTCTCTATCTTTTTTTATGTTTTATCCAGAAGTCCCATGACCGCATGGCCTCAGTTCACTTCCTCTTCATGTGGGGCATGTCGATAGTAAGAGGACGGGCTGTTTATGACATTACACACAGTGGAGAAGTACATTTCCACATCTGTATTCTCACTACGAACAGCTGCAGTTTGACAGCGAGGCTCCTGCTGGGAGCCGCTGTCAATCAATACAGTAGAAGCTACATGTACACAAAGCTACATGCAAACACAGGCACATATATGGACTTTTAAATTTAGGGGTAGCATACACTTTAAGCTGGCTGTCAGCATGGCCCTCCTGCTTCCATGCAGCTATAGAGAGCCTCTTTCTCTTTGTTCCAAGTCTCTTCTCTCTGGGAACTTTAATAGGCAGGTCTAAAGGGTAAGTACCTTCCCTCCCAAATTAACCCCTGATTAGTTCTGCCCAAGGTGGACTCCCTAATATATACAGTAAATTAGTGTTCTTGTGTATAACACTGCATTAATGTATATCTGGCCAATGCTAAAGCTGAATAGATGTATATTTGTTTTGCAGAAGTTTAGCTGGTGTTCAGGATACATTTATGACTTATGAAGTTTATGACGATGTAATTACAATACGAATGGTTAAAGAAGCTTCCAATATGCTTAGTAAGTGCTCTGTTATTGTTATTTTGGAATACAGCTTTGATTTAACTTGTTTTATCACCACAAAAAAACTAAAGCCTTGATGTTTACTCCATGTGCAAGGTTTAAAGTGTAAACTTCCTTACACTATCCACCCCTTACCACCTCCTCTTGCCGGTGATCCCTACCTGTCCTGCCCTTCCGGTGTTTCTTCCATATTTTCCAATACTCCTACCTTCCATTTCTTGATTCACTTTCTCCGATATTGATATGCTCCTCCTGCCCACTTTTACCTAATCTATCCCTAATTTGATGCACTTCCTTTTTCTTTCTCATGTTACTTCCCTGTCTCTGATTCACCTAGTTCTCTTTCCACTCTTGTAGCCCCCACACACAACATCTCCAGGCTGATTGACCTGAAACCAGTCAATCTATCACCAGATGCTGAGGGCAGATGTAATGGAATAATTTGCCATTGCCATATAAAAATGAAAATTAAAGTACAATAGTAAAACTATTACTGTATGTGTTCCATTGGGGAGATTAACTTTTATTGAATTCTCTCCAAAGTGAGGGGAAACTCATCCTGGACAGCTGTAGAAGATTTCCCCTCTTTTTGTGTCCCAGTGACAACTATAAATTTTGGATTTCTCATCACTTTTTGCCATAGTAATAATGGTCACCGGGACAAATAGAAAGTGTGAATCTTTCCAGCAAGGACAGAGACAGCAATTAAAACCTTACCAAGGAGTTTTGGCTTTAGACACACTTTAGCTCTGTACCGTACCGTTCAACAGTATAAATGTATCATTATATTTTCAGAAGTATCAGAGGAAGAAGTTTTAAAGCTGTTTGGACAGTATTTCTTTTCCTTTTGTAAGAAGTCTGGATATGACAGAATGTTGAGAACATTGGGGGGAAATCTAATGGAATTTATTGAGAATCTAGACGCCCTTCACAGTTTTCTGACACTCTCTTATAAGGTAATGCTTAATATAACATTCTATGTGTTATTCATTGAACTCCATAAGTAATGTTTATTACGCCCACCTTTTTTTTTTTGGCTTTACTTCTCATGTGTCACCGGAGCAGATTTACTAATGGACTTGTTAGAATACACATTATTGTATCTAGGACTTGGATAAAATAGGGGGGTGGGCAACAATATGGCAGATGAGGTTGAATGTCGATAAATGTAAAGTAATGCACTTTGGGGTTAAAAATAGACAAGCAGAATACACATTAATGGGAACTCCACTAGGGAAGTCAGAGATGGAAAAGGGGGTCATTGTAGGCCGCAGATTGAATAATAGCTTGCAGTGCCAGGCTGCGGTAAACAAAGCGAGCAGAGTACTGTCTTGTATTAAAAAGGGAATGTACTGTAGGGACAAAGCAATAATTTTGCCACTTTATAGATCACTAGTTCGGCCTCATCTGGAGTATGCGGTCCAGTTTTGGTCACCAATACACAGGAAGGATGTCCCGGAGCTGGAGAGAGTCCAGAGAAGCGCAACTAAACTAATTAAGGGGATGGAGGACCAAAGCTATGAGACAAGATTACTAAACTTAAACATGTTCACGCTGGAAGTGAGGAGATTAAGGGGGGACATGATTTTGATGTACAAGATGTTCAATGGTGATAGCAACATCAGCAACAAACGTTTTATGGTAAACTCCATAACAAGGACTAGAGGTCACCACCTAAAACTGGTGGAGAAAAGATTTAAGCACAAGGGGCATAGGGGCTTCTTTTCAATTAGAGCAGTTAGGGTCTGGAACTCTCTTCCACAAGCAGTGGTATCAGTGTAGAGTGTTGAATCATTCAAAATACATTTGGAGAATTTCCTCAGAGACCGGAACATACAGAGGTACAGGTACTATTAAAAATAAGATCACATGGGGACTAGTACACATGCAGAATCACAAACATACACAAAATAGGTTGAACTTGATGGACCTGTGTCTTTATTCAACCTCAAATACTATGTAACTATTACAACAACTCCTGCAGTATACATTTTTGGTCAGTAGATGGCAGTGTTGATAAGTTCTGTTATATCTATGGTATATACTCTGTTGTATTGAATAAGGTAGAGAATAAAGCTGTGGCTTCCTTCCTGTTTTCCAAGCCATGTGCAGCATGCATATCTGACTGTGTGCTTGCATTTCTCTGTGAGACTGTGCAAGAAGTTCCAACAGTACTCTCATGACCCAAACTCAGCATCTAGCAGGCTACTGTCTAACATATGCTGACAGTGCAGAGCCGTTCTGCAGCCAGGATGGATGCTGACAATATTGTTGGGATTTACCCTGCTGCCTGATTGTCAGAGTCAGCCAGCTGTGCCCAGAGCAAGCTCTAGAGCCAGAGCCGGCTGTGCCCGCCCCTTCCCCTGTCTGTCCGTCCATTGAGCACTGGAGTAACAGAAAGGTGAGGTGGGAATCACTGTCTGCAGGGAGAAGTCGTGAGCTGAGTGATCAGCAGTTTGTGATTGCTCAGCTCTCGATCTTTAGAGCCGGTGTGTGACAGCTGCGTTGTCACTAGGGATGCACAGATACTTTTCGAGTACCAATGCAGATACTTGGCATTTTCATGAGAACTACCCGGGTTGCAGCGGTTGCAGCTGGGACCTGGCTCTGGCACTCCACCACTGCCCTGAAATAATTAGTCTGTATTGTTTTAGAAAAACTGTAACATGACAATAAACAAAAATGTATCAGTACTCGTACTTGTAAGTACTCAGCAAGTACCAGTACTCGTACTCACAAAACTGGTATCTGTGCATCCCTTTATTTATATTTATAAAAACAAAATCACACATTAAAACAGAGATGTACAAATCCCAGGCGCTCCGTGTGCTCCTTACAAATGACAGCTGCCTACTAATTTTTGAAATTTTCTCTAGTCTAGTCTTGGAGCTCAAAAGTATCGGTACATGTACTCATACTTGTACCGAGTACTGTACTTGGTATCTGTACAACCCTAGTTGTCACCCACTGACTCAACCCATTGGGAAGAGTATATTTTACTCTCCCACTACTTCTTCTTTAACTGTTATGATACAGAGGCTTCCTACAATTCCGATACAGGAGTCCTACAATTCCTTGCAGCTTATGAGAGCACACCTCCACTCAGGGGCGTATCTGCCACGAGGCAAACAAGGCGTTTGCCTGGAGCGGCAGATTCGCTGAGGGCGGCACTGCGAGGGTTACAGACCTGGATGCGATGACGCGGACGTCGGCCTGGAGTGGATTGTTTTGCGTCGCCGTTGTTTTGCAGTGAGTCTGTAAGCCCGGGGGAGCGGCTGTCCACGGAGCGACGGGTCCGTCCGGGGGGG